CATACATTTCAGAATATAATAATGCCATTGTTTCGAAAGTCAGAGTGTGATTATTATGGATACCTTCAACATTTTTAAATAATGATAACAAATTCCTCAAAAAAAAAAAAAAAATACTCATAACTTACACAATAAATAAAGTAACGCATGAGATGGATGGTTATTCAAATTTGTTCGGTTACATCGATTTTAAAGAGATGATAGTATTACGAAATAAAAAAATTAAGGGGGAAAGAGTAATATTTCTAAAACTAGAGAAACAATCTAAATAAAGTGATGTCGTTATGTACAACTTTTAAAGCAGAAAATATATAATTTTAAGCTCAATTAATATGTGAAAATAGTGTAGAATAGGAATAAAATAGAAGAGACAAAAAAAAACATGATAATACTTTTAGTATTTATGATAGTGATCTATACTTTATAACATTCAGTTATAATATTTTTGGATGACCAACCAAATATGTACTAGTAATTAATATATATGATGCATTCTGAGTAAAACCACAAAGTCGTCGGCGTGCCCTTAAAATTAAAAAAAAAATTTTTTTTACTCCTTTGGATCATACTTGTATGATCAAATGATGTATGTAATGGTTTTTAAGCTATTTCTAAAAAAAAAAATAGAATTCTACTCGTTTTATACTTCTGAAATTTTTATCATAAAATCAGAGACTCAAATCAAGTCTTTTGGTCTAAAAGCGGTGATGGTTTTAAAAAATAGTGGAAGCAATTAATCTTTTTTCATAAGTGTGGCGGAAAAACCATTTTCAAGGACAAAAAATACTGCAGAAAACCATATACATAATATTATAAAAACAAATGGTAGTAAAACTTCCTAAATTGAACAAAAAATAAACTGTTGTTCGGTGAAATATGTTCGTATTTAACACAGCTGTACAAAGAATAACAAAACAACAACAGCAGAAAACACAAAAAAAATCGTTTTAACAGCAAATTAAGAGATTTACAAGTCAAACCTACGCGTCTATAAAATATCTGTATAATATACTTATATTGAAAATTAAGAAAATTGTACAAAAATACCGGATGCAATATACAGTTTCCATAATACCAACCGAAATCCAAAAAACAAAATTATAAGTAGTATGGTAACTAGATTTATTCGTGTAGATTTTTGAGATGGCCCAGTTGACAATAAACACTATAGTGGTCATAATTTCTACAAAATTGGTTCTTGAGTGCTGAGAATGTACTTAAAAGCAAGAGAATGTTCTTAGTAACATTGCTATGCAGTTTAAAACTAAACAAAAACTAAATGATTTTAGCAACTCAACGAAATTGATGATACCGTACCTTATCTGACTGAAAAAATAAGATTAGTGTTAGGTTATTACTACCATACAAGCCGTAAAGTTAACAAGAAAACAGTTAAAGAGTACTTTATGAAGAAAAAAGGCAAATATGGACTAAATGATGATGATATCGAAGAGTAAACTGCTCCATTGAAGAGTGCGTAGAAAAACAGATTATAATGATGTGAAACGATTTTATCTTCTTTTTCTACGAAATATGTTACAAAACTATTTTATGACGGTTAGACTGATTTCAATCAATAATAAATTATTCATTTTATGACTTGCTCATTTTTTTTCGACACGATATTAAATGATTTAGAAACTAAACAAGCGGACAGACAAAATTATAAATTTAAGATGGCTTTTTATATTACCCGTTATGGCCATACATTGTAGATAAAAACGCAATAACAAAAATTGCAACCACTCAATCCGTTACAGAATTGTATAGTTTGATCAATTTTAATGTGATTACTTTTAAAATAATTCCTAGAACGTGATATGCCATTGGACGAATTTCGTAGATTAAGGGTTTTCAAAAGATAATGTATACGCTACAATACCAGCCAGAGGTAGATTTAAACATTTGCAGCCCCTAGGCAAGTACTTTGTTCAACCTACACATTTTTTGTTTCTTTATAATACATCATTTCGGTTGTTAACTTTTTTTAATGTGATAACTGATAAATAATAATAAAATTAGTAATATATTTCAAGCGTTATCGGTTAATTATTATTATTCTTAATTTTGGTAGTAAAGGCTTTTTGTTAATTATTGGATTGTAGAACTTGACTGGAGGTAAATCTAGAGCATATGTACTTATCCAAATAGCAAAAGGGGAAAAGTTACTTTTGGATCATGGTAAGTTTTGTTAGAATAGATAAATAGTCAACCTTAAACGTATCAAAGTACTTAAAATAAAATTTTTTGCTCAATACTATAGTCTTAAGAGTTTACTGAGTAAATTTATCACTTTTAGTTTCGCCTAACAATTATTCTTTAAGACCACCCAACTGACTTTCCCAACTGAAAAAAATTAACTCCTTGAAGATTTCAGAGCTGAAAGTTAAAATGGAGATATAGGTATAATTAGTTATATGTTTTTATTTATATTGGGTGTTTTTTTTATCTTGGGCCGCTCAATATCTCATAGGATTTAGTAAGAAATAACATTTTTTTTCTCACATTGTTTTTATACAACGTGATCTCAATTTTTCATCCCCATACCAACTTAGTTTTTTGATAGCAACTTTAGAAACTTAAATAGTAACGTACATATTTTATTAACTTTTTAAATTGAGAATAATGTACTAACAATTTTGACTGGTTGATAAGCAGTTTTGAACAAATATTTTTAAAGTTATAAGAGTTTAAAAGTTACGATGGGAGGTGAAGTGCGGTTGGCAAATAGGCACAGAGTTTAAGTACATTATTCTCAATTCGAAAAGTTAATAAAATAATAAATTTGTACGTTAAAAGTTTAAAAAGTTGCTTTCAAAAAAACTAAGTTGATAGGGGGTAAAACAATAAACATTTTTAAAAATCTGAGATCACAATGTATAAAAACATTATGAAAAAATAAATGTCTTATTAAACCCTATGAGATATTGAGTGGCCCATGACAAAAAAATTACCATGTATTACAGTGATTAAAAAATATATTGTACACATGTGTAAATATATCGGTTTGAAAAAAACAACAGAATCTGTGGAATGCCTACATATTTTATAAAAGTCATATGGTATAATCAGATTTAAATATACTTTTATTTAAACTTAGTTAAGAAGGTTAATGGTCTTCAGAAATAAATATAATAATAACTAAATGTATTAACTAATGACATCGTGCCATGAGAAATTACTAATTAAAAAATAATATTAATTAGATATTAATTTCTGGCGAGTCTTTTAAAACTGTATTCATATAATTGTGTACACAATTACTTTATTGCTCAACTAGAGCCTATTACGTGTAGTGTCATAATAAAATTAAAAAAATAGTTTTTAATTAGTAATATGACCCCTGTAGATGGGCATCGAAGTGAATTTGTCATAATATAATGACTTATAGTTAGGTATACTTATTTCTGAAGACCATTTACTATCTTAACTGAGTTCAAATTAGTGCCTGTGATTTTAAACGTGTAATTTAAATACACATGTACACGAAACCCGTGTAATTAACATACACGTTTGAGTTAACGGATTTAAACAATTATACTTGTGTTTGAGTTCGTATAATTAAATAGACGTGATATTAAACGTAAAACTAAAATTAATAACAAAAACACATTTTTTTGAATACACGTGTATTTATAATTACACGGGTTTCACGTGTAATCGAATATACGTGTAATAGGGACCTCTAGTTTAAATCAACGTATATTTAAATCAGATGATCTGATATGACTTTCATAAATGTGAAGGCATTCCGACAGTTTTTGTTTATTTTTTGGAGTACTGTAACCAAATGAAGCAATTATATGCATTTATTTATATTACATTGTCAAATAAATTTATGATACATGAAAAATGTTTTCTTGGGTGCGGCTACGAATCATAGAAACAGTAGTTGTTTTGCGGTTTGACACAAACAAAAAAATGTATTACTTGTTTACACAATTGTGTAAAATGTGTATTATTTGTGTTTTAGGCATTCCTACAGATTCTGCTATTTTATTCAAACCGATATATTTTTACACGAGTAACCTTGATATTTTTTGCGTTTAATACAAAAATGTTTTTTTTCCATTATTTTAACAATACTAGTGCATATTACTATTTTTCTACTTATTTGCTACACCTTTAGATTTTAACAGGCCACTGTCATCAAGCAGATTTACATTCCTTATAAATAATTAATAGTCGATTTAAAATAAATACAACATCGTCATTTCATTCCGTTTCATATATATGAATACTTCTATTACAATGTGCAAAATAAATACATTTAAAATTCAAATAGTATCTATTTTACGATTATTGGAGTACTGTGATCAAATGAGACAATTATATGCATTTATTTATATTACATTGACCAATAAAGGAAAACATTCAACATTAAAAAAAATATTTTAGCTACGGTCTACAAATCATAAAACAGTAGCTATTTTGCAACACATATTTCAGATTAGACCAATATCTCCAGTCTACTTTTTAGCTATTAAATCTTCAAGAAGTTAAGTTTTTTCCGATTTTGATACTACACTCAACTCAAAAGTAAATGCAACATTTATTTGGATATGTATATTTGTATTAACAGAAACTAGGACGTAACAGCTAAGGTTAATTTATATTTTGAATAAGCTGAAAACTAGTTATTTAACATTTTTATAAGTTTATAAATTTTTAAAAATAACATTTACAAAGCACCCAAACAGTAATTAAATACTTTATTAATTTATATATGTATTTTTTTATTAACAGAAACTAAGGCTAAGCAGCTAAGGTTAGTTTATAATTATAATATGCAGAAAACTAGTTATTTAACATTTTTATAATATTTAAAAATAACATTTACAAATCACCCATATAATTGATTAAAACAAAAAAAAAACACGCAACCTTTAAAGTTATATGAATTAGTACATAAACCTTGAATTTTTATTTAAATAAACTTAAATTGAATACTTTAAAAAGTTTGAATTTTTAATTACAGCGAACGGCGATAGAATATTGTAGTAAATTTATAGGCCTGAAAATTTGATAAAAAACTATATTTACAATGCAATATATAATATGTTATGTCCTTTAGTTGGGAAAGAAACAAAAATTTTGTAAGGTTGAACATATTACTTGTCTGGGGGTTGCAAATGTTTAAATATACCACCGGCTGGTCTTGAAGCGTATACATTATTTTTTGAAAACCATGAATCTATGAAATTCGCGAAATGTCATAGCATCATCTAGAAATCATTTAAAAAGTATTCACATTAAAATTTATCAAAATATATAATGCTGTAACAGTTTGAGCTGTTGCAATTATTATTGTTGCGTTTTTATATACAATGGCTAAATAACGGGTGTTATGACAAGCCATATAAAATCAATAATTTTGTTTGTCTACTTGTTTGTTTTTTAAATCATTTAAAATTGTGTCTAAAAAATATATGAGAAATGTCATTAAATGATTATTCCAATATAAATTAAAATCAGTCTAACTGTCATAAAATAGTTTTGTAACAGATTTCGTTGAAAAAAAAGATAAAAGCGTTTTACCCATTTGGGAACCCTTCATTGGTTTAGTTAACGCTTCGATTTCCTTTGCACTTAGTCCATATCGGAGTCGTTTCTTCATTAAAAACGTTTTAACTCTTTCCTTAGTTACTAGGCAATCATCCTTTACAGCTTTTGAGATTTTAATATACATTTTTTCGAGTTGCTTAAATCATAAAATTTCTTTTTTTAAGACACAATGTGAAAACTACTATTATAGAAATAATTAATCTAGAATTATTACTATTGTATTATTCACTAGGTTCATAGAGTTTTATTATAATTTTTTTTTAAATATATGATATATTAGGATAGAAAAAAATCATAATTACCCGATAACTAAATTTTGAAGTTACTAATGCTACAAATTGCTCTTCCGACATTTCTTCAGCTAGAAATCATTATAAAAGTACTCATATTAAATTGTATCAAACTAAATTATGTTGTAACGGATGGAGTGGTTACATTTATTATTATTGTGTTTTTATGAATAATATTTGGTAATTAAGGATACTACACATCAGAATCACTTAAGAGCAATAATTGTATTTGCCCGCTTGTTCAGTTTTCAAACAAACTACAATCGCGATGAAAAAAAATTTCAAGGGAATGTCGTAAAATGAATATTTCAATAAATGTTACTGTTAGTGTAAGTGTTATAATACGTTTAACATTCTAACACGACTTGTAAGAAACAAGAAAAAGCGTTTTGTATTTTTATAATAACTTTTTTCACCCAATTATCTTTACAGACGCATTCTGCATTTTTTTTAAATTTTGCCCCAGACGCCGTATTCATAATAGTATAAATACTCACATTTCACATGTATATATTTTACAATATCTATTAATGAGTTATTATTATTCAACGTACTCCAACGGGTTCCAAATATCCTTTTTTCATCCCGTCCAGTAATTCGAAATTTCTTGTACACGTCTCGTTTTTCTATATAGTCTCTTACTATATACATATAAACTTCTGGGACTTTAAATGAAATCTCTCTATATAGTTCGCCTAGTTTCTATAAATATTAAGTATCTATTTTTAATAAACAATGTGAATACTACTGTTTTAAAATGAATGTGCCATCAATAAAATAGAAAAAAATGTAAAATTACCTGTGGATTGTTGCGAATTCCTGCGTTTGCTGTATACAAATGAACAAACAAATGTAAAAGCACAATACAATTTTTTAAATTCATTATTTTGTGTTTTTTTTTCAAATGCCAAAGTATTCGAATACTGTTCTGCCGTGTTTATAACTTAAATGATTCTTCTTCGTTTAATGCCTTCTGTTATAGTGAATTCAGTGTAAAGCTTATAAAATTTGTATAAGCGAATATGTATTTTGTTTGTTCGATTTATTTTAAAATTCAATTCTAAAATAAATAAGCATGTCTTTAGCCTACGAATCGTAAACAAATAGTAGTTGTTTTGCTGCTTGACAAACACAACAAATTGTTGTAAGCTAAATGCTTTATAGAATAATTTTTGATTTTCAAATCACTCCCATATTGATATTATTATTTTAGACGTTCTATTATTTGTATTGTGATTCTTTTATATGATTACACTGGTGAACTTACCCAAGCTAAGTTAGGTATCCTGGATTTTATTTTTAGGGTTTAATTATTAATGGACTAAGTGACTAGTTTAATAATTGCGCAATCAATATATTTGAAATTTATTTATATAATAGTATTATTAAAGTTTTTACATCATAATCAACCTTTGATAGATAATGACAATGTTTTTAATTTTTAACAAATAACAGTTCAGATAAAAACCCTTGGATCATAAATAAACCACAACGGTTGTAAAACAACCAAAATATTACACCAAAAGAACTATAATTTTGTATTTTGGTCGATTTTATTTGTTTCAAGCCAGAATCGAAAATTTTATAAAGCCAAAACTTCCATTTTTTTAGTATAGTATGAAAACATGTTATTATTTGAACATTAATCGTACAAAATATTTTTTGCTTATGTACTACAAATTTTAAATCTATGAGAGGCATTTGTCTCTCAGAATTTTCCATCTTAATTCACCCCAAACGAGTTTCATCAATACAACGAATTTGATATTATATTAATAGATTTCGGTTTTCGACGACCTTTTTTAACACTTTAAAAACCGACTTTATATTGTTGTATACATGATTACTGAATGACTCTTTTACTCAATTATCAATAAATGTTGAAATTTCATATTGATTTTTAAAATCGTGGCTTCAGCCACAAAAACAAAAAATATATTTAATACCTGTTTACAAAACCTTGATATAGGAAAATGATTTTTTTTCAAATCTTATCCACATTGATGTTATTATTTTAGACGTTTTATTATTTGTATTAGGTTTCTTTCTTATGATTAAACTGGTAAACATATTTAAATTAAGCAACGAATCATTGATTTTGTTTTTACTTTTATAAATATTTTTTTTTTAACGAATAAAGCAAATCTTAAACATAATCTCTTTGATCAATAGTGTGGTACTATGTTAGTCACATAATGAGAAAGATACAACAAAATAATATTCACCGACACAATTTTTACAAAAAATTACCTTATTTTTTTTTTGTAAATGTAAACTGTCACTAAATATTTATTATTTCAATTTATAGCTGTTATCTATAAAATCATAATCAGACATTTCATAGGATTGAATTTGATTTTCAAAGATTATATTGAGTTTATATTGAGTGTAAAGAAAACAATATTATAGTAATAGAGTGATCCACTCAATATCGTGATAACGTTGTTGATGACAATGTTTTAAAATTCTTAAAAAATTATATTTTAGATAGAAACACTTATTTTGGTCGATAAGACATTTTATTTGTTTCTAGACTAGAATCGAAAATGTTACAAATCTAAAACTTACATTATTATATATAGCATTGTTATATATAACATCATAAAATTTACATTATTTTGTATCACTATAAATAACGTTGTTTAAAACGTTAAAATGTTATGATATTCTGACAGCCTAACTGAGTAAGATCTTGTAAAAAAAAGTTAATTAAGGACATGTTGAGGTTCAGTTATGCCATTTGGGACGATGTTAAAACTTGTTCCCGGAACAATATTATTATAAAATATACATGGTTTACAAATATATTTTTCGTAGCTAGATAACTTGGCACAGCTGCGGTGGCGCGAAAATTTAAGACCTGGGTTCTTTGTATTTTATGTGGTTTTTTTACTGTCTATTACGCCTTGCCGAAGCATATTTGATAGTTTATTTTAATACAATTTATTACAAAAAGTATAATAGTACACTTTCTCATTTACGCTGCCACCGCTGTGCCAACTTATCTGGCAACCACTGTAACCTACACATTTTTTTATTTATTTATAAGAACTTACCATTTGTTTACATTACATTAGTCGCTGTGAAAAACAGTTAGGTTTAAAAAAAAAACAATAATACAATATTGGATTACAATTCACACGATAAATGATTTTACAAAAACTCCTTGTAATACATTTTAATTAAAAAATATTTCCGATTTAAAAAAACGCATACATTAACTGTATGTAAATTTTTAAAAAAATAGGTACTCGCTACAGTTATTATAACAATAACGTTCTATAATGCATTCGAATACAAGCATCAATATTTCGTACCCATAAGAACTTACCATTTGTTTACATTACAATATTCGCTGTGAAAAACAGCTTGGTTTAAAAAAAAACATAATTACAATATTGGATTACAATTTACTGGATAAATTATTTTACAAAAACTCCTTGTAATAAGTTATAATTATATCACATTTTTGATTTAGGAAATCGCAATACATTCATTGTATTGTTATACTCTCTTACGTTTAACGTCCTTTATTTCCAGCGATCAGGGCTTAGACGGTTTAGTTTGTCATTTTTGAGCTTATAGCTGGCTACAGACCTAACGCCACCAAACATGTTGACCCCAGAGAGAGGTGCAGGTTACCAAGTATACGATTTTTAGAGGTGTTGTGATTTATTTACATCGCAACAATCGTTGTAAAAACAACATGTTAACTTTACTAACGTATATTTAATACTAGATATTAAAGTTTGTATTATTATAAATAAAGCACCTCTTTTGGAGTTAATACAAAATTCAGAAAAAATATAAAACAAATGCATCAGTATAATAAATACTGATTTTGAAAGACAAGTGATATTAAACCCTTCAAGATTCTCGATGCCAATATAATAGTTTGGTCAGAATGTATACAACAATTTACGGAAATAAAGATGGTACCTCAACATGTATACATGTTGGAAAATATCCGCCCAATTTAAAACCATAGAAATTGTGGGAAAATATTGTATTAAGTTTTAGAGGGAATATTGTCAGCGTTTCTTGCAAAAAAAAATTGCTGAAAATGTAAACAAATTAAATCCCTACTCAACTCAGAGTAACCACTGGTAGAAAAAAACTCTTTGTGAGATTCGTATACTTTGAAATTGCATACGCTGTATACAGCCGACATATTATAGTATCTGCACGCACCCACGAATTAGTTATTGATTAAAAACTACTGTTTGCCTAATTACATACATATATTTATAAAATATAAAATCTATGTTCTATCATAGCTTGAATCATGGTTTTATCATTTTTACATTACGAACTATAAAGAAAACACTTTGAATAATTTTGTTACTGGTACTTTTTTAATACCGACAAAATCATGAACTAAGACCAGATTATGTATATTTACACAAGAAAAGTATTATGATATTTTTAATATTTCAATTATTATTAAATTTACAATTATAAAAATTATTTTAGAATTTTTTTATTATTATTTCCCTCAGCGGCAAAGGCCATCGGGTTACATTAAATTATATTTACATACATTTCAATGCAATACATTTGACTACATTAATTAAATATTGAAAAGCGAAACATTTTTATTCTAATATCAGTTCGTTGAGTCTGATATTAGAATAAAAATATATAAGGTTACCTATACACGAATTTATCGGCTCGAAGCGATACCAAATTGTATACACTAAAAGAATACAAACACTTTAGGATACTAACATTATTTGTAGTTAAAACAAATAATGTATGTTTTAGCTTTGTAACATTTTCGATTCTCGGCTAGACATCCAATTGTTTTCATCTAAAATTAAAAATACTATTTCGCGAATTAAAAACTATGTCATTAGCAAAGGTTGTTTGTAATATAAACACTTTAGTATTTACTATTTTATATACTACTTTCAATCATATTGATTGCGCACATAATAAATGATTTGTTAGATTTTTGGATTAAATTATTGCATGGGGTTTTCAGAAATGCTGAAGATTATATTGTTATTTTAAGTAGACGCCAGGAATTAAATTCCTCCTAGATACAGAGGTCTCTTATTATTTCAAAAGCATAGATAATAAGTAAAAAACAATGTACCTAAATATTGTTCAAATAATAAAAAACATGTTTTTGTACGAAAAATTATTGAGGTCACATAATATAAAAACTCTAAGGAAAAATATGTCTATAAATGATTATACCCTATAAGGTATTGAGTTGATCACTTTAAATGGTCAACTTGTATAATTATAATTATATTGGTTAAAAGAAATTTGTCGTTATGTACATGTACATTATATTTCTACTTATTTGCCGTACCTTTAGATATTAAAGAGGCTTTAGTCTTGTACAATATATTTTTTGATCAATGTAATATAAATAAAAACATATTCTAAATAGACTTATACCTCCAGTCTAATTTTCAGCTCTTAAATCTTCAAGGAGATAATTTTTTTCCTATTTAATACTACTCTAAAATCTATAGTTATAATTAAATACTAAATTGATTTATATATGTATTTATTTATTATCAGAAACTAAGACGTAGCAGCTAAGGTTAATTTATAATTTCAATATGCTGAAAACTAGTTATTTAACATTTTTATAAATTTATAATAATTAAAAATAACATTTACAAATCATCCAAATAGTACAGTAGTTGATTAAAACAAAAAAAAACACACACATCCCTTAGAGTTTTAAGAATTAATACATAAATCTTGAATTTGTATTTAAATAAACTTAAAATGAATACTTTATAAAGTTTGACTTTTTAAATACAGCGAACGGTGGTCGGTTGTTGTTGTAAATTTGTAGCTCTGAAATATTAATAAAATGATAAATTTACAATGCTATGAAAATAGAACATGTAAAATTATATAAAATGTAATATCCTTCAGTTGGGTTAGTCAGCAGTCTTTAAAAATAATTGTTAGGTGTACCTAAAAGTGA